AGACGAGGCCTGGACGGACCGGGCCAGCACTAGTGTGGGGCTGCGGAAGAATTTGGATTCCCGCGGCCCCACGCGCACGTGTGAGTTGACACCGGGGTGGTTTTAGCCGGTAAGAGTCCGGCACGCCCCTCCGCCTTTCCCCAGGCGGAGGTAGTCCATGAGGATTTCCCCCCGTAAAAAAAAAAAAAAAAAGGTTAGGTTAGGTTAGGTTAGGTTAGGTTAGGTTAGGTTCCCCCCCGAACGGGTTCCCGCCTTGTCGTGGCGGGGGGGCTTAGTAGCCGTGGCTTGGTCACCCACGGTGAACAAAGAGGAACCCCTTGGCTGGCCCGTGGTGTAGGGCCGGCCCGAGGTGGCCACTCCGAGTGGGCTTGGCGAGCCCACTTCGGATGTGTGTCGGGGGGCTGCAGTGAGAGGGGAGTCCGCACCCTCTACCGCTGCAGCCGAGGTGGAGTCGCGGAGGAAGAGGAGTGTTGGTATGGCGATGCGCCACTCGCCCTATCCTCCGCGACTCTGACGGGGCCGCACCGTTAATGATGCGGTGGTGGTGGGGCTGCGTGGGGAGAGGGGTGTCGGTATTGCGAGGCGCCGCTCTCCCTACCCTCCGCAGCCGAATCTCGGTTGGCGGCGGAGCCATAGACCAGATCCGCCGCTGGGGCCGGGAAGGCTGGTGCTTCTGAGTGCTAGTTTTTCCTGGCCCCATGGCCTTCGCGCATCGGACGCGGGGGCGTCCGTTGCGCATTGGTAATTGGAGGCCGAGGAGGAGGGCGCGCCATGTGTTCTGGTGCGCCTTACCTGAGAAGGAGATGGGGGAGGAGTGTTCCTCTCCCGAGTAGGGGCCGCCATGGGGCGGCTAGCGCAGGTGGGGCCGCGGAAGTGTGCGAAAGCGTTCCCGTGGCCCTACCAATATGCGACGAGTGTGGAACACCATGGGGTTTTAGTCGGTGCGAGTCCGACATAACCCGTCCTTGCCCCCGCGAGGCGGGTATGCGTAGGCATTTCCCCATGTAAAAAAAAAAAAAAAAAAAAAGGTTAGGTTAGGTTAGGTTAGGTTAGGTTAGGTTAGGTTAGGTTCCCGTGTGGAGTTGCCAGAGCTCCCATCGGGCGCGTCCCCAGGTGGCGGATAGGGGAACGCCACTCAGATATGGGTGGTAGCGGGAAACCGTCGCGGACCAAAACTGGCTGGGTGAGGGCTTTTTTGCATAGCGGAGGGCCTATTAGTTGCTTCCTGTATCCTCTCCCTTGAGAGGAACAGAGAATGTGACATGCGCGGTGAGGTGCCAGGTGCACTCGGCTTTTGCCGACGCCGGGCAACCCGTAATCGCGGGATTTTCAGGGACACACCCTGTAAAAAAGGAAACTGAATGGGCTCAGTGTTCCCTAACCCGGTCTCTGGGCAGGCATGAGAAGAACCCGTATCGACTCTGCCACCATTCGAACCTCGGAATCCCTCTGGCGTGTCGTGGATCACGTCTCGCGGCGCCTTAGGGGCCGAGGGCTCTTGGCTTAACCGCCTGGAGTCGCGAGGATGATAACCTCTTTAAAAAATCACCCGAAGCTCAAGCGTGGCACGCCGTGAGGAGCTGCATGGCTGATGGGTAAATGTTCAGTCGTTAGCGTTGCCCCCGTCGGGGTACCGGCCGACACCCTTGACGGGTTACGCATAGGCTTATCCGGGCAAAGAAGGCACTGCTCGGATGGACTGTTATTTCCTCCACACTCGTGGGATAAAAAATGGAAAGAGAAAAATATCTAAAAAAATCAGTAGAGGTAGAAAATCAGGCAGGATCTGATACTGGAAGCGGCGGAAATCGATCGCGTGGGACGTCTTCCGCTAGGAAACGTCCAGTGTGCCGATTGTCAGACGAGGAAGGTCTGCCGGCCCCCAAGTTGCCGACTTCGGGGAGGGGTCGGCAGGCATCTAGAGGGGCGAGTGCTTCGCAGCCGCGGAGGGATAAGCACGGACGGTTCGTGTGCTCCAATACCTCGGCGGCTAGTGAAGCAGATAGTGACATGGGGTTCACTACGGAGGACCTTGGCAATGGCGGTGAAAGCTGTGCCTCGCTGGGGAGCTCAAAGGCGGAGCTCAATGCCGCCAAGAGGGAGCAGCGCAAAGCCGTCGCGGCCGACGAAGTGTCGGAAATGGCTCGACGTGCTCGCGAGCGACGAGCTGCTCTTGCGGCGGAAGGGGGTGAGCCATCTGCGGTGGCCTTAAGCCAGCTGGCTCTGGATGGGGTGGACTTAGTCCTGAAGGTTGCCACCAAGTCCGGCAGCCTGAAGGGCACGTTCACCCGTGGCTTAAAGGAGGCTGCCGCGGATATCAGGGAGGCGGTTGGCATCCTCCTCAACAGGACGGCCTCTGACGAGGTCGCAAAGTTACAGGAGGAAAACAACCGCCTCAGAAATGACTTGGAGGACCTCCGGCGGCAAGTTGCTGCGCTAAGCGAGCAGCAGCAGCAACGCACGTCCAGCGATGCCGCACCTGTAGTGGACCCGACTCCCGCACTGCGACCGGCAAGCCCTCGTACCGACGAAGAGGTCGAGCGCATTGTCCGGCTCTGCATGCTCCAGTGCGGGAGCATGGTTAACGCTCGGCTGGAGGCAATTTCTCGGCGTCTCCCGGTGGAAATCCTCCGTCCGCCTTTAGCGGCTGACACGCGGAGGACTGAGGAGCCGCCGAGACTTGCGCCTCAAAATGGGAAGCCCGCGGAGGGTAACAAAAAGCCCGCGGAGGGAGCTCCTCCGAGCAACCAGCCCACGACTGCCGGGTCTAAGGGTGAGACCTGGGCGAAAGTCGTGGGCCGCAGGAAGGCCCGCAAAGCCGCCAAGAAGGCCGCAGCAGCCACATGTGCCCCAGGGGGAACCGCAAAGACGGCTCCTAAACCTGCACAGCGGACTGCCAAAGGCGGTCGCGAAAGACCGGCTGTACATGTTCCGCGGTCCAACGCTGTGACAATAACGTTGCAGCCTGGAGCTGTGGAGCGTGGCGTGACGTACCAGTCGGTCATCGCCGAGGCCAAGGCCAAGATCAAATTATCTGATCTTGGCCTTCAGTCCGTCACCCTCAGGCAGGCTGCCACGGGTGCACGACTGTTCGAGGTGGCTGGCACTGTGAGCGGCAGTGCCGAAAAGGCGGACGCACTGGCCGCCAAGATGAGGGAGGTCCTCAACCCAGAGGACGTCCGGGTCTCCAGGCCAATGAAAACCGCAGAGGTGCGGGTTGCTGGCCTGGACGACTCCGTGACCTCAGAGGAGGTGGTGGCGGCCGTTGCCAGAAGCGGAGAGTGTCCGCCGGACAAGGTGCGGGCTGGCGATATACGCACCGACGCCACCGGACTCGGCGCGGTCTGGGTTCGGTGCCCTGTAGCGTCGGCGAAGAAGATCGCCGATAGCGGCAGATTGCTGGTAGGCTGGGTGGCGGCAAGGACCAAGCTCTTACAGCCCCGGGCTTTGCAGTGCTTTCGGTGCCTGGAAAAAGGGCACGTCCGGGCGAAGTGCACCGCCGAGGTTGACCGTAGTGACCTCTGTTATCGCTGCGGCCAGCCTGGCCACAAGGCTGCCCTGTGCTCCGCGGCGCTCAACTGCAGCCTTTGTTCTGCTGCGGGAAGGCCAGCGGAGCACAGAGTAGGCGGAGGGGCTTGTGGGGCGCCTACCAGCAAGAAAAAGAAAAAGGAAAAGAAGAGGAGCACTAAGCCTGCCGGGTTAACCTCCCTGCCCTCGCAGGCTAGCAGCTCCGCGGCCGACTCCCGGCCCAGGACCGTTGCCGAGGGGATGGAATGTCAATAATGGCACAATTCCATTCTCTCCATTTTCTCCAGGGCAACATCAACCACTGTGCCAGAGCTCAGGATCTCCTACTCCAGAGCATGGCAGAGTGGTCGATTGACGTGGCTGTGGTCGCCGAACCGTACTTCATTCCCGCCCGTGACAACTGGTTGGGATGCGCTGACGGTTTGGTGGCCATTATTGGCGAGACTCTGATCGACCCGTCTCGGGGCCGCGGCTGGGTTGCTGCGGTCTCGGGCGGAATCGTTATTGTAGGGTCGTATTTCTCCCCCAACAAGAGTCTCGCCGACTTTGAGGGTTTCCTTGTCGAGTTGGGCGCCGTCGTAGGCCGCTATCACCCTCGTCCCGTTCTGGTGCTCGGGGATCTCAACGCCAAGTCATCGGCGTGGGGATCTCCGGTCACTGACCCTCGGGGCGAGGTGTTAGAAGAGTGGACGGTGACGACTGGTCTGGTCGTCCTGAATCGGGGTTCGGAATACACGTGCGTGCGGCAGCGGGGTGGGTCGATAGTGGACGTCTCGTTTGCTAGCCCCTCTGTCGCCAGCCGAGTCCACGACTGGCGTGTCGCCGCAGAGGTGGAGACGCTGTCGGACCATCGATATATCCGGTTCGACGTCTCTGCCCAGACTGCGAGCGGCCGCCATCCAACAACCCCGATTAACGACGGCCCGCGTTGGGCGCTTAAGCGCATCGACAGGGAACTACTCGAAGAAGCTGCCCTAGTTCAGTCCTGGATCTGGGAGTCGACGATGGACGGCCCCGTCGACGTCGAAGCGGTGGCGTTATGGTTTCGCGGGGCGATGACGCAGATCTGCGACGCGTCAATGCCCCGTGTCCGCCAACGGTCCGCAAAGCGCCAGGTGTACTGGTGGACCGCCGAGATCGCGCAATTGCGCATAGCGTGCGTTGCGGCTCGTCGCCGGTACACCCGATACCGGAGGCGGCGTCGACGGGATCCCGCCGAGGAGGACGCGCTGTATGAGGTGTACCGCGCGTCTAAGGAGACTCTGTGGCTGGCCATCGGCGACTCAAAGTCGCGTGCCAGGGAGGAGCTGCTGGGGTCCCTAGATCGGGATCCGTGGGGGCGCCCCTACCGTTGGATTCGGGGCAAGTTGCGTCCCTGGGCGCCTCCACTAACACAAAGGATGCAACCCCAGTTGCTAGAGTCGGTGTTATCGACTCTCTTCCCTGAGCGAGTGGGACACGTTCCCCCGGCGATGGCTTCGCCCTCAGCCACAGACTCTCCAGAAGAGGAGAGCACCGATGTCCCCGAGGTAACGCAAGCAGAGACGAGAGTGGCCGTGTCGCGACTCCGGGCTAAGAACACAGCGCCCGGACCCGACGGAGTTCCTGGTCGAGCTCTCGTCCTGGCTCTGAAGGAGCTAGAGCCCCAGCTGAGAGGGCTCTTCACGGCATGTCTCGAGCAGGGTCAGTTTCCCAGTGTGTGGAAGGAGGGGAGGCTGGTCCTGCTCAGGAAGGAGGGGCGCCCCGCGGACTCACCGTCCGCGTACCGGCCCATAGTGCTGCTCGACGAGGCGGGCAAACTTTTTGAGCGTATCATCGCAGATCGCCTCGTCAGCCACTTGTGCAGAGAGGGGCCGGACCTGGATGACAACCAGTTTGGTTTTCGTCGCGGGCGCTCCACCATAGACGCTATTACGCGCGTGAGGGCCCTGGCGGAGGAGACAGTATCCCGGGGTGGGGTGGTGCTGGCGGTGTCCTTAGACATCTCCAACGCTTTCAACACCCTACCCTGGAGTTGCATTCGGGAGGCGCTGAATTACCATCGCGTGCCTCCCTACCTCCGCCGCACAATAGGGGCTTACCTTGAGGAGAGATGCGTTACCTATTGGGGACGTGACGGCGCTGGTCGGCGCGTCATGTCGTGCGGTGTTCCGCAGGGATCGGTCTTGGGACCGCTCCTGTGGAACATCGGCTACGACTGGGTGCTGAGAGGTGAACTCCCGTCGGGCGCCGACTTGACGTGTTATGCGGACGACACGCTCGTCACTGCCCGGGGGAGTTCGTACAGGGAAGCAGCGTTGGTTGCCACGGCTGCGGTGTCACAAGTGGTGAACCGCATCCGGTGCCTGGGCCTGGAGGTGGCCCTAAGTAAGTCGGAGGCCATGGTGTTCCATGGCCCTCGACGCGCGCCGCCGCCGGGTTCACACATCGTGGTCAGCGGGGCCCGGATAGCTGTCGAGTCCACCATGAAGTATCTGGGATTGGTGCTCGACAGCCGATGGGAATTCGGACCCCACTTCCGGCGGCTGGCACCCAAGCTGATGGGTGCAGCGGGCGCGCTATCAACGTTGCTTCCCAACTTGGGGGGCCCGAGCGCCGCCTGTAGGCGGTTGTACGTGGGAATCGTGCGGTCCATGGCCCTGTATGGGGCACCTGTGTGGGCGATGGACATGACGGCCAGCACTCTCGCCATTCTGCGTAAACCGCAGAGGGCGATGGCCGTCAGAGTCGTCCGCGGGTATCGCACGATTTCCTACGAGGCGGCTTGCGTCCTGGCCGGATCCCCGCCCTGGGACCTAGAGGCGAAAGTACTCGCGTCATTATATCGATGGCGCGAGGAAGAGCGGGCACGGGGCTCGAGGCCGGTGCAGCGGCAGATCGCGCTGCGCCGAGAGGAGCTCCGTCAGGTCTTGGTGGCGGAATGGCGGCAAAGGCTTCTGCGCCCTACCGCTGGCCTCGCTACCGTCGAGGCGATCCGGCCAGTACTCGACGACTGGCTCGGGAGAAGGCACGGCTCCCTGTCGTTTAGGGTGACGCAGGTGCTGTCGGGGCATGGCTGCTTCGGCAAGTACCTGCGCCGCATAGACAGGGAGCCGGACGCTCGGTGCCACCACTGCGTCCATTGCGGGGAGGACACGGCGCAACACACGCTCGCCGAGTGTGTAGCTTGGGAGGAGCAGCGCCGTGTCCTCACAAATAAAGTAGGAGGCGATCTGTCGCTGCCGGCCTTAGTGCGGAAGATGGTCGGTAGCGCAGAGTCGTGGGATGCGGTGGTGTCCTTCTGCGAGGACGTGATGTCGCAGAAGGAAACTGCGGAACGGGAAAGGGAGATCTCGACTCTCTTCCCTGGCCGCAGAAGGCGCACCGGGCGCAGGAGAAGGGCGGACAACGCCCTTTTCCGGCCCCCATAAATGGGTCCAGGGGCGAGGGTTTTGGGGAAGCCCCCGCCACCCCCCTACTCGATGGACCCGAGGCGGAGGCGCGCGCGGGTGTCGGCGCGCGCCCCTGAGGCGATACACGGGGTAGTTTAACACCTCACTACCCCGTGCAGTAGACGAGGCCCGGACGGACCGGGCCAGCACTAGTGTGGGGCTGCGGAAGAATTTGGATTCCCGCGGCCCCACGCGCACGTGTGAGGAGACACCGGGGTGGTTTTAGCCGAAGTGGGCTTGGGAAGCCCACTTCGGATGTGTGTCGGTATTGCGAGGCGCCGCTCTCCCTACCCTCCGCAGCCGAATCTTGGTTGGCGGCGGAGCCATAGACCAGATCCGCCGCTGGGGCCGGGAAGGCCGGTGCTTCTGAGTGCTAGTTTTTCCTGGCCCCATGGCCTTCGCGCATCGGACACGGGGGCGTCCGTTGCGCATGTTTAGTTGGAGGCCGAGGAGGAGGGCGCGCCATGTGTTCTGGTGCGCCTTACCTGAGAGGGAGATGGGGGAGGAGTAGTCCTCTCCCGAGGAGGGGCCGCCATGGGGCGGCCAGCGCAGGTGGGGCCGCGGATGTGTGCGAAAGCGTTCCCGTGGCCCTGCCAATATGCGACGAGGGTGGAACACCATGGGGTTTTAGTCGGTGCGAGTCCGACATAACCCGTCCTTGCCCCCGCGAGGCGGGTATGCGTAGGCATTTCCCCATGTAAAAAAAAAAAAAAAAAAGGTTAGGTTAGGTTAGGTTAGGTTCCCCCCCGAACGGGTTCCCGCCTTGTCGTGGCGGGGGGGCTTAGTAGCCGTGGCTTGGTCAACCACGGTGAACAAAGAGGAACCCCTTGGCTGGCCCGTGGTGTAGGGCCGGCCCGAGGTGGCCACTCCGAGTGGGCTTGGGAAGCCCACTTCGGATGTGTGTCGGTGGGATGCTGCGAGAGGGGTGTCCGCTCCCTCTATCGCTGCAGCCGAGGTGGAGTCGCGGAGGAGGAGGCGTGCTGGTATGGCGATGCGCCACTCGCCCTATCCTCCGCGACTCAGACGGGGCCGCACCGTTGAGTGATGCGGTGGTGGTGGGGCTGCGGGGGGAGAGGAGTGTCGGTATTGCGAGGCGCCGCTCTCCCTACCCTCCGCAGCCGAATCTTGGTTGGCGGCGGAGCCATAGACCAGATCCGCCGCTGGGGTCAGGAAGGCTGGTGCTTCTGAGTGCTAGTTTTTCCTGGCCCCATGGCATTCGCGCTTTGGACACGGGGGCGTCCGTTGCGCATGTGAAATTGGAGGCCGAGGAGGAGGGCGCGCCATGTGTTCTGGTGCGCCTTACCTGAGAGGGAGATGGGGGAGGAGTGGTCCTCTCCCGAGGAGGGGCCGCCATGGGTTGGCCAGCGCAGGTGGGGCCGCGGAAGTGTGCGAAAGCGTTCCCGTGGCCCTGCCAATATGCGACGAGGTTGGAACACCATGGGGTTTTAGTCGGTGCGAGTCCGACATAACCCATCCTTGCCCCCGCGAGGCGTAAAAAAAAAAAAAAAAAGGTTAGGTTAGGTTAGGTTAGGTTCCCCCCCGAACGGGTTCCCGCCTTGTCGTGGCGGGGGGGCTTAGTAGCCGTGGCTTGGTCACCCACGGTGAACAAAGAGGAACCCCTTGGCTGGCCCGTGGTGTAGGGCCGGCCCGAGGTGGCCACTCCGAGTGGGCTTGGCGAGCCCACTTCGGATGTGTGTCGGGGGGCTGCGGTGAGAGGGGAGTCCGCACCCTCTACCGCTGCAGCCGAGGTGGAGTCGCGGAGGAAGAGGAGTGTTGGTATGGCGATGCGCCACTCGCCCTATCCTCCGCGACTCAGGCGGGGCCGCACCGTCGATTGATGCGGTGGTGGTGGGGCTGCGGTGGGAGAGGAGTGTCGGTATTGCGAGGCGCCGCTCTCCCTACCCTCCGCAGCCGAATCTTGGTTGGCGGCGGAGCCATAGACCAGATCCGCCGCTGGGGCCGGGAAGGCCGGTGCTTCTGAGTGCTAGTTTTTCCTGGCCCCATGGCCTTCGCGCATCGGACACGGGGGCGTCCGTTGCGCATGTTTAGTTGGAGGCCGAGGAGGAGGGCGCGCCATGTGTTCTGGTGCGCCTTACCTGAGAGGGAGATGGGGGAGGAGTAGTCCTCTCCCGAGGAGGGGCCGCCATGGGGCGGCCAGCGCAGGTGGGGCCGCGGATGTGTGCGAAAGCGTTCCCGTGGCCCTGCCAATATGCGACGAGGGTGGAACACCATGGGGTTTTAGTCGGTGTGAGTCCGACATAACCCGTCCTTGCCCCCGCGAGGCGGGTATGCGTAGGCATTTCCCCATGTAAAAAAAAAAAAAAAAGGTTAGGTTAGGTTAGGTTAGGTTAGGTTCCCCCCCGAACGGGTTCCCGCCTTGTCGTGGCGGGGGGGCTTAGTAGCCGTGGCTTGGTCAACCACGGTGAACGAAGAGGAACCCCTTGGCTGGCCCGAGGTGTAGGGCCGGCCCGAGGTGGCCACTCCGAGTGGGCTTGGGAAGCCCACTTCGGATGTGTGTCGGGGGGCTGTGGTGAGAGGGGAGTCCGCAACCCTCTACCGCTGCAGCCGAGGTGGAGTCGCGGAGGAAGAGGAGTGTTGTTATGGCGATGCGCCACTCGCCCTATCCTCCGCGACTCAAACGGGGCCGCACCGTTGATGCGGTGGTGGTGGGGCCGCGGGGGGAGAGGAGTGTCGGTATTGCGAGGCGCCGCTCTCCCTACCCTCCGCGGCCGAAACTTGGTTGGCGGCGGAGCCCGAGACCAGATCCGCCGCTGGGGTCAGGAAGGCTGGTGCTTCTGAGTGCTAGTTTTTCCTGGCCCCATGGCCTTCGCGCATCGGACACGGGGGCGTCCGTTGCGCATTGGAAATTGGAGGCCGAGGAGGAGGGCGCACCATGTGTTCTGGTGCGCCTTACCTGAGAAGGAGATGGGGGAGGAGTATTCCTCTCCCGAGGAGGGGCCGCCATGGGGCGGCCAGCGCAGGTGGGGCCGCGGAAGTGTGCGAAAGCGTTCCCGTGGCCCTGCCAATATGCGACGTGTGTGGAACACCATGGGGTTTTAGTCGGTGCGAGTCCGACATAACCCGTCCTTGCCCCCGCGAGGCGGGTATGCGTAGGCATTTCCCCATGTAAAAAAAAAAAAAAAAAAAAAAAAAAAAAAAAAAAAAAAAAAAAAAGGTTATTTTAGGTTAGGTTATGTTAGGTTAGGTTAGGTTAGGTTTTTTTTTTAATTGAAGAGGTTGTTAAGTTCTCTTATATAATGCAATATGCTATCGGGATACAAGTTGCATTATAAAGATTGGATCTCTGTAGTTATTTCGTTTTGAAATTGTCTTGTTGTCTATTTTTACTTTATTTTTCTAATTCGCTAATACTTTAATTAATTATTGAATTTTTTTAATGAATTCACAATGTTTTTTATGTGTTTACTAAAAGTTTCTATAGTTGTGCATTTTTTAATTATGTCTGTTAATTCATATGGATTTATTCTTAAGTTATTGCAGTTAATTTCATGGTCTATTCTAGTATTATTAAATTTTGGGTTGTCTTTTATCAGGTGGATAATAGTTTGAGGTGTACTTCCATCACATGGGCAATAATCATTAGCGCTTATTTTAAACCTATGTAGGTAGCTTTTATGGAATCCGTGATTACTTAGGATTTGCGTAAAATGGAAGTCAGGTTTGATTTTTTCTAGGACGATATGAAGTGCCTCATATGATGGACACCATGTTTTGGTATATGTGCAGTTAGCTATGTTGTTGTAGTAATCTTCACTTGCAGTTTGTAAAGTCTTACGATGGATTTGTTTTATGTAGCTGATAGGGAATTTTGAATAATCCGGGGCTTTATTTAAACTCGTTGCTGCCTTGGCCGCCGAGTCCGCTAATTCATTTCCGATAACACCATTATGGGCTTTCGTCCAGATGAATCTAATGGTTTTATTTTTTGTTTCAGCATTAGTAACATTGCGGTGTATTTTTGCTGCTAAAGGGTTGGTTGTGTTTGGGTTATTTAACTCTAAAAGGCTTGACTTGCTATCGGAAAATATTATAAATTTATTAAGTTTACTGGTCAGGATCCAATCACTTGCTTTAGAAATTGCAAAAAGTTCTGCTTGGTATACTGAACAAGTGTTGTGAAGTTTATATTTTTTAATGACGTTTTGACCCTCTGAGTGAAGAACAACAAAAGCAGCTCCCACACCTTTGTCATTTTTGCTTCCATCTGTAAATATATTGGATGTTGCTGTATCGGAGTACTGATTTATATCCTGTTGGTTTGATGCTTCCTGAAATTGAATCGCTTTTCTTTGGCAAGGATGTGGAAGTTCAGCAGGTGTCACTGGTGTTTCGAGTTCAATGTCTTTAGGAAGATATGTGGAGAATTTACATCGTTTTGTTGTTTCTAAATTTGCACACACTTTTACTTTAGCCTGTAACGGATGAAGTTTTGCTAAAGAGATTGCAGTTGCCGTGCTATTTGTTCTAAATCCTCTTATGATTTTTATGGCGAAATTTCGTTGAAGAGAAAGTAAACGTTTTTCAATATATTTATATTTAAGAGCAGAACTCCAAATACTTGCTGCATAGCAAACGATAGGTTCTATTACAGAAAGATATATGGTATGCACATTTTCAGAATTTACTCCCCAAGTGGGTTTTATATATTTTACTAATTTTTGAAATAGATTGTATGATTTTTGTATTGTATATTCTGCATGTTTAATGAAATTTAATTTTTGGTCTATAATGACCCCTAAATACTTTATCTGGCGGAAAAATTGCAATGGTTGACTATTCATAATGATTTGACATTTGCGAGCTTTATTGGTAAATGATATCATTTGAGTTTTGCTAGGATTAAATTTGAGTTTGACTGAGTTTCCCCAACCTACAATTTCGGAAAGAACTTCGTTTGTTTTGGTTTCAAGATTATGAATATCTTTTGAAGATACTATTAATAGGAGATCATCTGCAAAGGCTTGGAGGTGACATCCATTGGGTAGCTTAGATGTTAGGAGCTCATCAAGTATCAGGTTCCATAGCATTGGACCGCAAACTGACCCCTGAACGCATCCCCGCGACATATACTTGGTAGCCGAACTATCCGCAAAATCGAGTTTGACTACACGATGTTGGAAGTAATTTTTTAGCAGATTATATAAATTGCTAGGACATTTAATTGTATGAAGCCTATGAAACAATGCTGGCCACCAAGCATTGTCAAAAGCCGCCTGTATGTCAAGTGAGATTGCCAACACTTGATGATTTTGCAATCTAGCATTTTGTATAATATCAAGCGCTTTTTGAATAGCGGCCGTTGTTGAGGTTTGCTCTTTAAAACCGAACTGTAAATCACTCATTGCATCAGTTGTGTGTAAGAAATATGTAAGTCTTTTAGTAATTAATTTTTCTAAAGCCTTTCCAAATATATTAATGAGTCCTATTGGTCTATATGAAGCGGTGTTAAGTTCGGTCTTATTGTGTTTTGGAATAATTTTAATATATGCAACTTTCCAGTCTTTTGGAAAATGGCCAAGTTGTAGGCACCTATTCATTATTTGAGTGATTACAATAGGGAAAGTTTCAGCAAATTTAAAACATATATCCGATGTGAGATGGTCTAAACCAGGTGCTTTTTTGGGGTTCATGGATTTCAATGACTCTAGTACTTCTTCTACTGTAAATGGAGTATCTGGTGGCGTGTCGGATATTTTGTTAAACTGTTTACGGAGCTGAATATGCTTTAAGCATGTATCAGGTCCATCGTCAGGAAAATATTCATTTAAAAACGTTTCAGCAGTTTCGTACGTAGTTTTTGTGTATTTACCCGCTTTGGTTTTAAGAGTTGTGGGGGGCTGCGTCAAAGGTGTGGTCTTGAGTAACCGATTAGTTACACTCCATACATCCTCCTTTCCCTGCTTATCGCAGAACTCCCTAAAGTGCTCAGTTGAAGCAACCCTAATTGCTTGTGAATATTCAGTTCTCAGGTTTTCTTTTTCTAGCAACAAATCGGTTAAAGACTTTTTACGGCGTTTTGTTTGTTGAATTTTGTGGTGATTTTTTATTACTTTTTGCTTCAGTTTTTCTAATTTATCGTTCCACCAGGGCGCTCGGATTGCTACTTTAGTTGATTTTCTCAGAAAGAGTATATCGCTAACCTTTTGTAATGCTTCTACTAATTTTGTAATATAATTATCTAATTGTGTGGCGCTTAAATTATCTATGATAATATCGGTGTCAAAATTTTTAGCTATCTCGCTTTTAAACTGCTCTGTTATCTCATCCCATTTTATATTCTGAGTATTATATTTAAATGTTGACAGTTTTTTGGGTTTGTTTAACATGTTTTTATTTACGGACAAATCAAAAGTGATACCATTATGATTGGATGATGGGACAGCGTCTAGCACGACTTTCCAGTTGGAGATTTTATTCGGTGTTGAATTGGATGTTAGTGTGTAGATCAATTATGGATTCGCGATGGATTTTGTGTGTTACCGTTTCATATGTAGGGACGTTGCCTGAATTACACAGAATAAGATTATTAGTAGTTATAAGATCTACTATCATATTTCCGCGTCGGTTTGATCTAATCGAGTTCCACATGGGATGCCATCCGTTAAAATCACCACAAATGATGTGGGTGTGATTTGAGTTTTTCTGTAGGAATATTTCTAGACTGTTCATTGTATTAATTTCATCCTTCTTGGGTTCAATATATACACTAATTAGAAATAGTTTTTTACCGCCAATGTTTATTTGAACAATACAAAGGTTGGAAGTGGAGTACTCCGAAATTCCCAAAGTACAACCTATAGTCTGCCTTACAAGTAAGCATGCTTTTACTCGGTGCAATGTGGGGTATTGATATATATTATAATTAGGGATAGATTTCATTGCGTTATCCTTTCCTACGTAGGGTTCACTGTTAAATACTATGTCAAATTTGTTGTCATTTATGTATTTAATCATTTCATGCATCGCTGCGTAACCTTTGTCGGTGTTAATTTGTAAGCATTTTAATGGGCGATGATTTTTTGTATTTGCATTATTTCTATTATTAGTACCCATAATCGGTTCTGGTTTTGCAAATTTCTATTTGTTTTTGTAGACGTGGACAACGTAGCGATGTAGCACTGTGTTTAGTGTTAATATTTAAGTTATATTTTTTACAATGTGAGGAACAGTTATAGCAGTCAACTTTGGTGTAATCTTTTTTGACAGGGCAATCTTTATACGAGTGTTCTGATGATGAGCAGTGGGAGCAGATTGTTGTTTCTTCAGTGCAGTATTTCTTCGTATGACCAAACTGCATACACTTATAGCACTGAAGATAAGCTGGGTAGTCTTCAGTATGTACTCGTTGATGGTCTACGTTTATTTTTTGAAGTTCCACAATTGATCTCCAGATTGTGGGAGTAACCATAAACACAGCGTTATACAAATTTTTGTTTTTATTGTTTCGCATAAATCGGTAGGTAATATCGTCGGGGGATTTAATGAGACTTTTTATATTTGGATTTTGATTCACAATGATTTCTTTAAGCTCACTCACAGGTGTGTCTTTGTAGATGCCTTTAAGAATTACCAAAGGCTTGAGCTTCTTGGCTACGTCAGCATTAACAAGGCTGTCAGGTTGGTTTATGGCATTAAGGATCTCGTCACGCTGTTCTTGGTTATCAAACTCTACCCTAATTTTGTGGTTGGAGACTGTCTTAACTTCAGAAGGGTTAAAGGTGTATTTTTTAAAATGAATGCTTTTCCGCCACGCACTTACAGTTTCATTTGAACAAGAGACTGGCTGCTTAGAGCTAACTATGATAGCTGGCTTTGTAACCGGGATAGTTTGTTTCTCAGCAGTTTTAGTAGATTTGACTACTTTGGCGTAGGATGGTAGTGGCGATGGAGCGATAGAAGGGTTAACAATTAGTTGTTGCAGTGGCTGGGTGGTAATTTTTTGTGGTTGGACCGCTAGCTTAGAGAGCTCTTCCCTAATGGTGTTCTTGATTAATGAAACTGTTTTATTTTCGGTTGATGAAATTGAATGATGTAATATCGTTTTTACTTGATCGTACAACTGTTGTGTACTTAGTTTGATTTCGTCTAGAGATTTTTTAATGTTATCTTTGTTAAGACGAGTAACGCTCCTATTACCGTCTAAATTTTGGAGAATCAAATTTGTGTGTTCACTAACTTTTAACAAATACTCGTCGTTAAAAGTTGGAGTAGAGTCGGATAGTGCCTCTTCGAATTCGTCGCCTGTTATGTATGTTGGATCTTCAGCTGGAGTCGACTGTTGACCCAAATCGAGGCTACAAAGAGCCTCGGAAGAAGTATTGTGTAGACTTGACATTTATAATATATAAGTTTACTTAAGTAATGAAAACAGGGAGGGTGGGAGGGCGATTTTCTCTAATTTCGCGTATAATTTTTTACAGATTAGAGTGCAGATGGCGGTTTCTACACTGGACGGACCTAATTGAAGCAAAAAGAGCGAAAGAAATGAAGATTTGTAAAATTTTAAAAATTGTATGAATTTACGACTCTAAGAAAACAAAT